CTATCGTTACCTGATATAAAGCAGAGATAAGCTTTCATGTATTAGAACAAACTAAATCCTTTAGAGAGTTTATTTGAAACTCTCTGCAATGCTTGATCTATAGCAGAGATAAGCAAAGCGCTCTCAGTGGAAGCTCATAACAGTCAGAGAGCTCATTTTTCCCACTTTCGATGTGAATAACAAGTTTGCTTTTCCCATCAAGAAAAATGCTTAATAGATCACTCTTCTGAAAGATAAGAGCTCTGTAATTATAGAGCAGAAATAAGAATAGATCACTCTACTGAAGGATGAGTGCTCTGTAATTAAAAATCGGAAATAACAATTACTGCAACTCTTTAGATTAAGGTGACTAACCATTTTACAAGAGAGCAAGGGTTGGTTAATTGATGCGTTACTAGAATTTGCCCGATTAGAGTAGCCGTATACACGTTTTTCATTTCTCCTTTATTCTCTTATCTAAATGATACTTATCTAAGTTTGTTACTAATGATGAGTGCTTAACAAGTTAATGATATTTTCTCAACCGATCTTATTTTGATTGATCAAGAATTCTCACACAATGGTTCTCATCTTAATCTGTTTTATGAAAAGGTTGGTTTAATTTTTTGTCATGTAATAGATATAGAGCAATTGAATGTTGATATCAGTGAATAATTCTTATATTTCCATTTTTTTCAAGAATATTCCAGGAACTTTTTTATCTGTTTGCCTAAAATTCAAATAATTTTTCTTATAAAAGTATTAGATCTTTATCTTATATACAATTTTACAAAGAAGTTATCAAAAGTTCAAATTCTTGAAATTTTCAAGAATATTCTAAGATCGTCATAAAACTTGATAAATATATGAAGTTTTTATCGTAGACCCCTTGAGAAGTTTATACGATATCGCGAACATTCATAAATACTTAGATTTTCCTTTATTTTAATAAAGTTTCACACCTTATTTTGGACAAGGTTAGTAGTTCTCTAGAATCTGTGGGAGTTTTATGAGGATCATCTCCAACAGTTTTGTTTAAATTGAAAATAGCCCCGGCACCAGGGGCTCAGCTGTTCTGTTTATTACAGAACTATTCTAGTTTTCCATAGTAAGTTGGGAATTATCTAGACGATTTTCATAACTTATCATTGCGGATTTTCTGTATATATAATGCAACAAAGATTCCGTATAAATTTTCTTCAACTGGCGCAAAAGAATTTCTTGTATTGCTCGACATGCTGAATTTTCCTTTAAAAAAAGTCTTGTTAAAACTTCATGAACCACTAGGAATGATGCTACGCTACGGGTCTACAAACCGCTCTTTTTAGAACCGTTGTTCTAACACATGTTTGTAGAAACTACCGAGAACAATCTAGCAGTTGCATAATGGAGAGATAGAGGTAAAAGTTGGACTACAGTTGATCGTTTTGACGATCATTTTCGATCGCTACAAACCATTGCCTTAAATACAATGGAAATAGGAAAAGTTACTGTGGAATTTCTTGTGTAACTCTAGGTGATGTTGAAGTTTCTATTAAAGCTTCTGAGACCTCGTGGAATGTTGCTGCAGATCGCTAGAGAACCACGGATCGCTATTTGAAAACCGTTGTTCTAACAAGTGGAAGAAATACTGAGAACAAGCTGACATTTGCATAATGAAGAGCTATAGCTGAAAATCGATTTTACTTACAACAAATACTTTTGTATTGATACTAAGACCACACAGCGGATTTTGAGATTCGGTTTAACATTATGTTACAGTTACACTCATACATATATGAATTCCAACATGATTATGTTTAAAAATTACAAAATATTGCTACTGCAAATGCCTTAAATTAGCAACAACAATTATTATATAACTTTTATGGAAAATAAATCTAAAGTTATGTTTATCAAACCTAAGAGATCTTTAATCACAAATTAAACGATGCATTAAGTTGAACACATTCCCTCATTGAACACTTGAGTGTGTGTGTTTCTTTGCACCCATTACAATGACTCGTTAAAGTTAAAGCGAAAAATTATTTATTATGTCATAAAAAAAAATAAAATAAAAAATTTAGTAATCACAACTAACAGTGTAAAACAGCAGCAGCAAAAAAAAAACTAACAGTTTATTATCTTTTAAATTTGCTGGTTAATTTAGTAGCTGCTGCTGATGGTATTTCTCAGTTTTTTTCTTCGTTTTAATTGCCAAAGACACATAATTTAATTAGTCTTGTATTAAAGATTTAAGTTAAACATTTAAACAATAAAAGATTGAAGAAAAACATAATGTGTTTGGAGGGAGCTTATAAAAAAAACTAAATAATTTGTTAAGTTTTTTCCCCCATTTTTCTTGGTTTGGCAAACTTTATTTTCCTCACTTTTCCTTAGCAAGAAGATGTGCTGTTTGTTATAGTATTTGGCAAAAGTAAAACAAATTACATCTCATTGGAAATATATGAAATAAAAAAAAAATGTATTAAAAGCAACATAAATTCAACACTTGAGTGCACCTGAACCATAAAAAAATACAAAAGATGAACGATGAATCTGTGTTTTTTTACTATTTACTATTTTTGTATAATTTTTTGGCTTTTTGTTGATGTTTTGGTTTTTTTTTTTTTGAATGAAAACTTATTGTTATAAAAGTTTTTCTTCCACTAAATTTCGAAAATGGCAACTGTTTTGTTTGTGTGCTGCCACTTTGGCGGATGAATGTGTTGAAGAGAAATGAAATTGCAGGGAATAAAAGAAAAACCAATATATATTATAGAGAAATTAATTAATAGTTTATTGCATTTGGTAGATGTTTCACTTTTTTTCTTTTACTAAAAGATGTATTAATTATCTATAAGTTTAAAATACCCAGTTGGAATTTTTTTTATAAAAATTACTGTTTTGCCTAAATTTATGAAAAATAAATTCTACATTTTCATTTTTTCAAGAATATTCCGGGAACTTTAGTGTTGATTTTGAGATTATCTTTATTTATCAAGATATTAGATAACCTTGTTATATAGATTTTTTTTAAATCTGTCTAAAATCAAAATTCTAAAATTTTCGTGAATATTCTAAGAATTATGTTAAATTTGAATTCAATGAATATATTTTATGATTATAGCATATTCTTAGGTGTTTGTAGTAAAATGAGTTGTTAGCTATTATTTTTCAGTTGTCAAGTCTTGAACAAGTCTAAGATTTCTTATATTCCAAGTTTTCAATAATATTCCGGGAACTTTTGCATTTATTTTTTATTTTCTTTTGAGATTTTAATTATTTATCAAGATACTACATTATTTTTTGTATAAATTTTGTAAAAAAGAAACTATTATAAGTTTAATATGAATATTATTCGAGAATATTCTAAGAACTAAGAAGAATTTAATGAATATAACTTAAGAAACTATTTACAGTAAAATTTATAAACAAAAACCGCCATAGCTATGATTTTCCCTTCACCAAAACATTTGCCGTGAACAAAAGGAGGAAGTCAATCAAAATATTAATTTTTCCAGAATATTCCGGGAACTTTTGTATTGTTTTATATACATTATGTATTCATTTTGAAATTTTCATTATTTATCGAGATTTAGATAGTTTTCTTACATACATTTTTGTAAAAGAAGTTTTTATAAATAAAAATTCTAAATTTTTCGAGAATATTCCAAGATCTTCATTAAATTTTATGACTAGATTTGAAATTGGTGGCATATTTTTAGACATTTATGGTAAAAGAATAAAGCGGCCTAGCTATTATCTTTTAGCCATTAAGGTTCTTTATGTGAACCAAAGTTGGATTACTACGGTGGATTTTTCTTTATATTCTCTTGTTTTCAAGAATATTCCGAGAGTTTTTGTATAGATTTATAGTTATTTTGTATTAATGGAAATTTTTATCATTTATCGAGATTAATATTATTTTTGTATATATTATTTTGCAAAAGAATTGTAATTCGAAAATTTTCGAGAATATTCCCAGAACTAGGTTCAATTTGATGAATATTTCTTAAGAAAGTGTCATACTTTAAGATATATTTAATAAAAATAGTTCTTTTATGAAAAAATAATAATTACATATATATATTTAAGTTCTTAAGAATATTCCGGACACTTAAGTTCCCGGAATATTCTTGAAAACTTGAGAGGTATGTGTAGCTATGGCTAAAGCTATCGCGAGCTTTATTAATAAAACAAATTTTGTTAGTATTGTTAAATTATTTATCAAGATATCAGATTATTTTTTATATATTTCTGTTCAATTGGAGAATATTCTAAGATCATAGATTATTCTCTGAACTATGACGATTAAGGTCTTGTAAAACGGAGGTTCCTAGATTCACGGTACTTAAGGCGGGTTCTTAATGCTTTTTCTGATCTATACACAGAGGGAAAAAGAAATATACATGCCTGGTACCAAATTGACACCAAACTATTTATAATTTTTTAATACCATCTGTTGTCAAAGTATTACATAGTGTTGTCGTACGTATGTATATACTTTGACAACTGATGTTATTGAAAAATTATAAATTCTTTGGTGTCAATTTGAAGCAGAAGTATATTGACAAATATCGACTTTGTTACACGTTTCATTAATGCAAAAGATGGACAAAAATCACGTATTTGTTTTTCCCATTTTTTAATCGTCAAGGATTTTTATGAATAAAAAAAAAAATATTTTATTGAATTTCAAAAAAAATTGCGCTTTTAATGCCAGACGTTTTAAAATTCTTATGGGGTTTTTAAAATTTGAATTTAATACTCAGAAAAGGATCGAAAAAGATCATAATCTTTTTCCATCAAATATTTTTTAATTTTAGTTTTAAATAAACCATATTCTGGAACAAGTACTGAGAATTTATATTTTTTGGTATATAGTTTTTAAGAATCAGTTAAATTTAAAGTTCCAACAGGGTATTTAAGTCTAGTTTTTTACTTTTTCTTAAATTTATATATATATATATATATATATATATATATATATATATATATATATATATATATATTTTTTTAAAAAATCTAATCACACTTACATTTTAAACAACATTTTGTTAATATCTATTTATTTGTTTTGCTCTTTTTTTTCTTTATTATTACTATTCGTTGTATACAAAGGAAGTTATTCAATTTGTTGTACTTTCACTTTAAACAATTGCCAATAATTAACGTCAAATGTTTTTCAAATAATATTATTTATAAGCCATACGTTACGATTTTCACACAAAACAAAAATCTTTTTTTTTCTTATCTTTTAAATTTATAAAATCGATTTTATTTCTTTTTATTTTAAAATATAAATATATATATTTTTTTGCACTTTAACGTTAACTACGCGGCGTTAAACGTTATTATTTTTTACTATTTTTTGCTATGGACTCTGGTGAGTAGAGTTGCGCTTGCTTGGCAAGTCACTTTCGATTTCTTTGCCAGCCGAACGAGAAATGGCAAAATGATGAGCTTTTTAAATATCGAAAACCGATTTTATTAAAAAAAAAAAATACGAAATATATAAAATGAATAAAAAATGTTTATAATGTATACAAAACTAAGAAACAAACTACTGCATCCGTTAACGACGACGAGTAATCACCGCAATACCACTTTAAAGCAAATCCACAAACCACAAAAGACGAGATCACGACAATCACACCGTTACAAGTTACACTCACTAATACTACGCCCGAAAGCCACTACCAACTAACACACACTCAGGGACGCAAAATATCCAGTACTTCCAAGTCAAACCACCAACACTAACAAGAAAAACAAAGTCCAACACCAGCTTAAGTTTTTGAGCGCATGAACTACGTTTTGTACTTTTAAAGCTGAAGATCGTTTTATTTTTTTTTAATAATTTTTTTTTAATTTTTTAATAATAAATTTTTATGGAAAATATTAAGTATTTTTTAGCGAACGGCATTCAAAAGGCCAAGCAGGCAGGCAGCTTTAGACCGATCGTTGAAATAAATAAACTTTGAAATTTGACCAACAACAGCACTAGTTGTAGTAAATAAAATTAGCAATTGTATTAGTTGTAGAGTAGTCTTAACCGGTCGTAGAATATGAGATTATGAAATATTTATTTACAAAATTCCACTGCAATGTAATAAACGAATGATCTAACCAAACTGCGAATTAATAAACCGATCAAGTCAACACCAACACCAACCATCAACAGCAATAAATTGACCAACAATTCGCTCTAACTCAATGATCTTTTCAATGGAATGCAGATCAACTTGTAATTTTTTGTTTTTTCATTTAAGCAATAACTTGTCACAGCAAATATTGCATTATAAATAAAATAAATATTTTTTTTCAACGAATAATTTAAATGAATTATTGTCACACAGTTGTAATTTTAATTTAAATTTTCTATCTCTCTGGATTAGTGTTCGAAATTCATAAATTTTTAAATTAATCAAATTGAATATTTTTAAAAATTTTTTGTATAAACGTTTCGTTTGAAATTATTAATATTTTGTAAGTGCGCACGCGCCCGTTTGTTTTCGTGTACAACACGTTTGGAGTACAAATTACAGGAAAATGTTTGTTGAATGTTAAAAGTGTCATGCTTTATGTTTGTGGTTTTGTTGCTTCTAAGACGTATTCCATGCCGTTTGTTGCAAGAAATATAGTGTATAAATAAAAAAAATATACATATAATAATGCTCATATTATATGGTTGAGTGATTTTCTTTGAAATATCTGGGTTTCTAAACAGTTGATTTTGGAGGGTCGCTTTTTTGAAAAAATTAATTTTTTACACAAAATGATAAAAAATTTAAATTTTTTAGTAATAATTTCATTTTTGAAAAAATTAAAATTTTTAGTGAAAAATTTTAAATTGTAGTAAAAATGTATTTTTATGTTTTTCTTTTGTTTTTGATAAAATGTTAAATTTATAGTAATTTTATGATGAGAGGTAAAATTATTGCTAAAAAGGTTTTTTTTTGTAAAAAATCAATTTTTTTTCAGAAAAAAATTGGGGAAAGTTTGGATTTAGTTAGTTAGTTAGTTAGTTAGTTAGTTAGTTAGTTAGTTAGTTAGTTAGTTAGTTAGTTAGTTAGTTAGTTAGTAGTTAGTTAGTTAGTTAGTTAGTTAGTTAGTTAGTTAGTTAGTTAGTTAGTTAGTTAGTTAGTTAGTTAGTTAGTTAGTTAGTAGTTAGTTAGTTAGTTAGTTAGTTAGTTAGTTAGTTAGTTAGTTAGTTAGTTAGTTAGTTAGTTAGTTAGTTAGTTAGTTAGTTAGTTTAGTTAGTAGTTAGTTAGTTAGTTAGTTTTTTTAGTTAGTTAGTAGTTAGTTAGTTAGTAGTTAGTTAGTTAGTTAGTAGTTAGTTAGTTAGTAGTTAGTTAGTTAGTTAGTAGTTAGTTAGTTAGTTAGTTAGTTAGTAGTTAGTAGTTAGTTAGTTAGTTAGTTAGTTAGTAGTTAGTTAGTTAGTTAGTTAGTAGTTAGTGTTAGTAGTTAGTTAGTTAGTTAGTTAGTTAGTTAGTTAGTTAGTTAGTTAGTTAGTTAGTTAGTAGTTAGTTAGTTAGTAGTAGTTAGTTAGTTAGTTAGTTAGTTAGTTAGTAGTTAGTAGTTAGTTAGTAGTTAGTTAGTTAGTTAGTTAGTTAGTTAGTTAGTTAGTTAGTTAGTAGTTAGTAGTTAGTTAGTTAGTTAGTAGTTAGTAGTTAGTTAGTTAGTTAGTTAGTTAGTTAGTTAGTTAGTTAGTAGTTAGTTAGTTAGTTAGTTAGTTAGTTAGTTAGTTAGTTAGTTAGTTAGTTAGTTAGTTAGTTAGTTAGTTAGTTAGTAGTTAGTTAGTTAGTTAGTTAGTTAGTTAGTTAGTTAGTTAGTTAGTTAGTTAGTTAGTTAGTTAGTTAGTTAGTTAGTTAGTTAGTTAGTTAGTTAGTTAGTTAGTTAGTAGTTAGTTAGTTAGTTAGTTAGTTAGTTAGTTAGTTAGTTAGTTAGTTAGTTAGTTAGTAGTTAGTTAGTTAGTTAGTAGTTAGTTAGTTAGTTAGTAGTTAGTTAGTTAGTTAGTTAGTTAGTTAGTAGTTAGTTAGTTAGTTAGTTAGTTAGTTAGTTAGTTAGTTAGTTAGTTAGTTAGTTAGTTAGTTAGTTAGTTAGTTAGTTAGTTAGTTAGTTAGTTAGTTAGTTAGTTAGTTAGTTAGTTAGTTAGTTAGTTAGTTAGTTAGTTAGTTAGTTAGTAGTTAGTTAGTTAGTTAGTTAGTTAGTTAGTTAGTTAGTTAGTTAGTTAGTTAGTTAGTTAGTTAGTTAGTTAGTTAGTAGTTAGTTAGTTAGTTAGTAGTTAGTAGTTAGTTAGTTAGTTAGTTAGTTAGTTAGTTAGTTAGTTAGTTAGTAGTAGTTAGTAGTTAGTTAGTTAGTTAGTTAGTTAGTAGTTAGTTAGTAGTTAGTTAGTTAGTTAGTTAGTTAGTTAGTTAGTTAGTTAGTTAGTTAGTTAGTTAGTTAGTTAGTTAGTAGTTACACCTAGGCCTCTATCGGCCCTGTTGTGCGCTCAGGTGGGAATCGAACCCATCACCTTCAGTCTACAGACTAGAACACTAACCATTAATCTACCTGAGGCCACACTCGAACGACGTAACTGTCCCTCAGTTTCCAAAAGTTGCTACTTTTTTCATACATTCAGATCAGACGAAAGTTGACCTTGTCATTTATAGGAAATCTTTGCATATATTTTAATTGCTACCAGTATCCCGTTCTCATTATGAGCACCAAATTGTTTTTATAAGAAATGCTCAAATCTTAACCCTCAAGCAGTAGTTAAGAACCTCTGTTTTAATCTTAATAAATACACCTTAACATTAAATACTATACAGACAAATAAACAATAACTTTGTATACCCTACACGCCTACAGTGGGGTGACTATTACGCATATTCGCATATGTTTGTAATAGCAATATTCTAACCTTTTCTGAGTCGATTAAGCCATAACCTCCATTTAGTTGTTTCTAAAAGTTAACCTAATGTTAAGAAATTTGATATTATTAATTATTTAGGTCAAAAAAATTTGACCTTAATAAGATGAAATTGATCTATCTTATCCTGCGAGGATCGGAGCACAGTTAGGTTCTGGAACCGTAAATTAATAATTTAAACACTTTGCTTAGTAAATATACATATCTTGTAATAGTATTGGTATAGTTATACAATTTGTTATTAATCTGTTTAAATCAATGTAACAAAATCTGTGGAGATCGAACCTTAGCATCTATGCGCCATAAGTAGTAACCTATAAAGGGACTTTAGCTTAGGGTATAATTTGATCCACCATGCCTAACTATAATTTCTTATTTATTTTTCAATAGCTTTTTTCAATGTAAGTTTGTAATTGTAAAAATAATATCAAACAAATAAAAAACTCATTGTTCCTAACTCTTAATACTCATTTATGGGGATTTGGAGTTATTTCAGACCAGGTTTCAAACTCCAGTTGAGTATAATGTGTTAATGAGTATGAGCGGAAAATTTTTCATAATTATACCCTACACCACTTTAGTGGGGAGGGTATATTGGATTTGTGCTGATGTTTGTAACATACAAAAATATTCGTCCTAGACCCACCTTAAAGTATACCAATCGGCTTAGAATCGTTTTCTGAGTCGATTAAGCTATGTCCGTCCGTCCGTCCGTCCGTCTGGCAGGCTGGCTGGCTGGCTGTCCATGTAAACCTTGTGCGCAAGGTACAGGTCGCAATTTTCAAGATAATTGGATGAAATTTGGCACGCACGTTTTATTTGACCCAAGGACGAAGCCTATTGAAAATGGTTGAAATCGGTCCATTATTTCACCTAGCCCCCATAGAACAGAACCCCCCGAAAAGGGCTTTTGAGCTCATAATTTTGTTAAATTTACAGATATATCGATAAAATGCGGCACAACTAAGTTTTATAGAAGTCTGGATGACCCTGCCAAATTTCATAAAGATCGGGCCCCATTTGACCCTAGCTCCCATACAAAGTCCCCTTCAGAAAATTACTTGAATGTCCCAAATTAACTTATAAACACAAATATCGCGATGAAATTTAGCACAATAAAATATTATGTAAATATAAATATATTCACAAAATTTTATCGGGCTTGGTCCATATTTGCCCCTAGCCCCCATATAAAGCCTCTTTCAGAAAATTAGATTTTCATCCATAAATTGCTTAAATGTATCGGAACAAGGGAATATTGAAGATAAATGCTTTATTAATAAAAAAATAATACACATTTAATATTCATAACTGGTGTAGGGTATCATATGGTCGGCCACGCCCGACTATACTTTCTTACTTGTTTTTTTTTCTGTTTTGTATTATTGTAATATTTAAAATAATAACTGAATTAAAATGAGTAAAAAATTTACACATTTTACTTGTAACTGGTTAAATGTAAATATGTGTGTATTGGGCCTTATGCTCTCTCTCCCCTTTTGTTATTTATGTTGGTTGTATGTTTTAGAGTTTGTGGTAAAAGATTTGTTAACATTTTATTTGGATCAGTTAACAATATTAGGTTTTGTTATAATCCATTTATTTAGGTGTTGGTAATATATTTAGGAGCGTATTATGTTAAGTGGTTTTAACATTTAATTTCAAATAATTTGTGCTTTTTTTATAAATTATATTTAGTTTAAGTAGCTATTTTGTTAATTTTATATATTGTTAGTGTGTCTGCACAATTAAATCAATTAGTATTGTTTTTTTCGGAAAAAAGAGGCATTAAGTCAATTACTTTACAAAAATTTTATAACTAACTGTTGGCATTTTAAAAAGCGGAATTAAATTTGTACATAGTTTAATGTCAAAGTTTGATTGTCATGATGGTGAATAGTTGGGGGGTTATTAAACTTGTGTTTAAAGATAATTATATAATGAATGTAATTGTAAAAATTCTTTATAATTAAATTGCATAATTAAGAAATTATAAGTTTATGCTTAATGTGACGTAAAGTATAAATAAATAATAAACATTTGTAAAAAACAATGTAATTATATAATTAAATTATGTAGTGGTTTGCAGAGCCCCTCAACACCTACCCTAAAAAAATGATGTAATAGTTGTTAGATAGTAAAATGGAGGCAAATGCTTAGCGAAAAGCTTACTATTAACTAACTAACTTACTATTAACTAACTAACTAACTAACTAACTAACTAACTAAACTACACTAAAAACTAACTAACTAACTAACTACACTAACTAACTAACTAAGCTAACTAACTAACTAACTAACTAACTAACTAACTAACTAACTAACTACTAACTAACTAACTAACTAACTAACTAACTAACTAACTAACTAACTAACT